AAAAACCAGGAAAAACGCTAAAAAAAGGGGAAAACACTAAAAAATCGGGGAAAAAAAGTGAAGAAATGGGGAAAAACAGTAAAAAAAGTGGAGAAAAAAGGGGGGAAAATGGGGGGGGGAAGGAGTTTAAAAAGGCAGGAAAAAGGAGAAAAAAAGGGGGGAAAAAAGTAAAAAATGGGGGGAAAATACTGAAAAAGCCGGGGAGAAAAAGGAGGAGAAAAGGGGGAAAAAATGGGAGAAAAAAGGGGGAAAAAGGGGAGAAAAGGGGGAAAAAAGGGGAGGAAAAAAAGGGGAAAAAAGGGGAAAAAAATTTTTTAAAACCGGGGAAAAAAGGGGGGCGGGAAAAAGAAAAAAAAATAAAGAATCAAAGCGCGGCTTTCACCCGGAGCTCAACCCCCCCCGGCGCTACGTTCGAAAAAAAAAATTTTTTTTTTTTTTTAAATTTTTCAATTTTCAAATTTTTTTTTTTCTTTCTTTCTTCCCGTCAATCCTTGCTCTCCTCCTTCTCCTCCTCGTCCTTCTCCTCTTCCTCGTTGCCTTCCTCGTCGTTTTTCTCGTCCTCTCGGCCCGCCCCGGGCAGTTTCTCTTTGTTGTTCTCTTTTTTCCATTTCATGCGGCGATTCTGGAACCAAATCTTCACCTGGCGCTCCGAGAGCCCCAGCGCGTGCGACACCTCGATGCGGCGCTTGCGGGTCAGGTAAGGGTTAAACAGGAATTCCTTCTCCAGCTCCAGCGTCTGGTAGCGGCTGTACGTCTGGCGGCCGCTGCGCCGGCCCGGGGCTGCGGGCAGGAAAGGGTTAAACGGCAGCGATTAGTGGGGGGATTAATTAAATTAATAGGGGAATGTATTGGGGGGGTGAGGGGAACAAAGGGTTAAACGTCAGCGATTAATGGGGGGATTAATTAAATTAATAGGGGAATGTATTGGGGGGGTGAGGGGAGGAAAGGGTTAAACGGCAGCGATTAGTGGGGGGATTAATTAAATTAATAGGGGAATGTATTGGGGGGGATGCGGGGAGGAAAGGGTTAAACGGCAGCGATTAATGGGGGGATGAATTAAATTAATAGGGGAATGTATTGGGGGGGGTGAGGGGAGGAAAGGGTTAAACGGCAGCGATTAATGGGGGGTTAATTAAATTAATAGGGGAATGTATTGGGGGGGTGAGGGGAGGAAAGGGTTAAACGTCAGCGATTAATGGGGGGATAAATTAAATTAATAGGGGAATGTATTGGGGGGGATGCGGGCACGAAAGGGTTAAATGTCATTAATTAATGGGGGGATAAATTAATTTAATACGTTAATGTAATTGGGAGGATGCGGGGAGGAAAGGGTTAAATGTCATTAATTAATTAATTAATTAATTAATTAATGGGGAATAAATTAAATTAATATGGAAATGTATTGGGGGGGATGCGGGGAACAAAGGGTTAAATTTCATTAATTAAATTAATGGGGAATAAATTAAATTAATATGGGAATGTATTGGGGGGCTGAGGGCAGGAAAGGGTTAAACGGAGCCGGAATTAGCGCGGGAAGGAACTAAAATAAAATAAAATAAAATAAAATAAAATAAAATAAAAATAAAATAAAATGAAATGAAATAAAATAAAATAAAATAAAATAAAATAAAATAAAATAAAATAAAATAAAATAAAATGAAATAAAAATATAGTGGGGGGGCTGCGGGCAGCAAAGGGTTAACGGCGAGCAATTAATGGGGAATAAATGAAATTAATAAATGAATGGAATGGGAGGGTTGGGGGCAGGAAAGGGTTAAATTCTAAATTAAAATAAAATTAGAAATAAAATTAGAAATAAAATTAGAAATAAAATTAGAAATAAAATTAGAAATAAAATTAAGAATTAATTTAAGAATAAAATTAAGAATGAAATTTAAAATGAAATTTAAAATGAAATTTAAAATGAAATTAATGTAAGATAAGATAAGATATAAAAAACATATAAAATATAAGATAAAAGATAAAATTTTAAAACTGGGGTGGAGGTGGGGATTAATAAATTAACAAATTAATAAATTAAGAGATAAATTAATAAATAAATGTTAGGGGTGGAGGTGGGGATTTTAAAAAATGCATAAAGAGATTTTTGAAAAATAAAATTAAAAATGAAATAAATTGAAAATAAATTAAAATGTTAAGGGGTGATGGGGAGAATAAGGGGGAAAATGAGGAAAAATTTTTAAAAATTAAATTTTTTTTTTTACAAAAAGGGGGAAAACCCAAATCAAATGAAAAAAATCGGAACCACAGAAACAGAAATGACCAAAAGACACCAAAAAACCCAAAAAACTACAAAATAAATTTAAAAAAATCCCAAAAACCAACACAAAAAAAAAAACCCAAAACCCAAAAACCCCAAAAATCAACCCCAAAAAACCCAAAAATCAACAAAAAACCCCAAAATAATAAAAAAAACCAAAAATCCCCAAAACCAACTCAAAAAATCCCAAAAAAACCAAAATCCCAAAAACCAACACAAAAAAATCCAAAAAAATTCCCCAAAACCCCAAAAACCAACACCAAAAAAACCCAAAAATTCAAAAATCAACACCAAAAAAACCCCAAAATCCCCAAAAATCCCCAAAATCCCCCAAATCCCAAACCCCGAATTCTCCCCAGCCCCAAAAAATTTTCCCCCAAACCAAAACCGAACCAAAAAATCCCCAAAATTCGCTTTTTTTGGCCCATTTTCCCCCTTTTTTCCCCCATTTTTTGCCCATTTTCACCCCATTTTAATCCCATTTTTTCCCCATTTTTCACCCCATTTTTTCCCCTTTTCTCACCCATTTTAATCCCATTTTTTCTCCCCTTTTTTGCCCATTTTTCACCCATTTTAATCCCATTTTTTCCCCCATTTTTAACCCATTTCTCCCATTTTTTTAATTTTATTTCAATTTTCCGTTTTTCCCTTTTTTCCTTCCCCGTTTCTTCCTCCTCCCCCTCCCAAAACCCCCAAAACTTTTTAATTTTTAATTTTAATTTTTTCCCGAACATTCACCCCAAAACCCCCAAATTCTTAATTTTTAATTTTTAATTTTTAATTTTTAATTTTTAATTTTTAATTTTTAATTTTTAATTTTCACCCCAATTCTCACAGAACCCGGAGCCTCCTTTCCCCCCCCCCCCAAAAAAAAAATCCCCAAAAATCCGAATTTTCCTCCCCAAAATCCTCAAATTTTTCCATTTTCCGCCCCAAAAAAAAAATCAAAAAAACGCGAAAAAAATCGGAATAAAAGTAGGAAAAAAAAGAAATAAAAATTCCAATTAACGGCGCGCTCGCTTTTTCGCCGGCGCCACCGGAAAATCAAATTTTTGGGGGCAGGAAAAGGCGCGGGGTCACCGAGCCCGAAATAAATTCCGATTTTCCTCTCCCGGCCCCCAGACACAAATTCTGATTTATTTCCCTTTTTTTGGGTTTTTTTGGGTTATTTTGGAGGTTTGGGGATTTTTTGTTTTGGTGGTTTTGGGGTTTTTTTTGCGCTGGGGTTTCAGGGAGGTGTAAAATTGAAATTCGAATTTTAATTAGAATTGAAATTAATATTGAAATTAAAGTAAAAATAAAAATAAAAATAAAAATAAAAATAAAAATAAAAATAAAAATAAAAATTGAAATTAAAATTAAAATTAAAATTAGAATTAAAATTGAAATAGAAGTTAAAGTAAAAATTAAAATAAGAATTAAAATAAGAATTAAAATAAGAATTAAAATTAAAATTAAAATAAGAGTTAAAATTAAAATGAAAATAAGAATTAAAATGAAAATAAGAATTAAAATTAAAATTAAAATTAAAATTAAAATTAAAATTAAAATGAGAATTAAAATAAAAATAAAAATGGAAATAAGAGTTGAGAGAAAAATTGAGATAAAAATTAAAATAAAAATTGAAATTAAAAGTAAAATAAAAACAAAAATAAAAATTGAAATAAAAATTAAGATAAAAATTAAAACGAAAATTGAAATAAAAATTGTAATTAAAATTGAAATAAAAATTACAGATTGAAATAAAAATTGAAATAAAAATTGAAATAAAAATAAGAATAAAAACAAGAATTAAAATAGAATTAATTTCTTTTTTTTAACCCAACCTCTCCGCGCCTCTCCCCACATGTTTTGGATTTCCCGGAGCCTTGAAATTTGAATTATTTCCTCTCCTTTTCCTCCCCTTTCCCGAGCTGAAAACCGAATTATTTTCAATTTCCCTCTCTTTTATTTTATCTTTATTTAATTTTCAATCCCGACCTTTCGACCTCCAGCTCAGTTCTTTTAATTTAATTTTTATTTTTTTTTTCCCCAGGGGAGGAGAGAGGAAATGACGACAACAATAAATAAAAATATTTTTTAAAATAAAAATAAAAATTTTTTTTTTACATTTTTGGCGTTTTTTGTCATTTTAAAGACCCCGCTCTTATCAACCTCGAGGGAGCCATAAAAATAAAAATAAAAATAAAAATAAAAATAAAAATAAAAATAAAAAATAAAAATAAAAATAAAAATAAAAAATAAAAATAAAAATAAAAATAAAAATAAAAATAAAAATAAAAATAAAAAATAAAAATAAAACAACTTTAAAAGCACCCTCGAGTTTTATTTTTTGTGGTTTCCGGTTTTTTTAATTTTAATTTTTTTTTTTTTTTTTTTTTTTTAGGGAATCCCCTCAGTTTGGTGGAAATAAAAAAAATTTAAAAATTAAATTAAATATTTGAGGGGGAAAAAATTAAAATAAATTTAATTATGCGGGGGGGAGAGGTCTGGCTTGGGGGAGAAGAGGGCGGAATTTTGGGGTAAAAAATCTGAATTTTGGGATTAAAAAAAATCTGAATTTTGCGATTAAAATTCTGAATTTTGAGGTAAAAATTCTGAATTTTGGGGTACAAAGACTGAATTTCGGGATGAAAATCTCAATTTTGGGGTAAAAAATCTGAATTTTGGGGTAAAAATCAGAATTTTGAGGCCAGAGGCCGCAATTTGGAGAGGAAAGGTTCGGATTTGGGGATGGAAAGTCAGAATTTGGGGTTAAAAAAATGGGAATTCGGGTCATTCCAACATCGCCCCAAAAACCCCAAAACCCCAAAACCCCAAAACTCCAAAACCCCAAAACCCCAAAACTCCAAAACCCACCGGAACCGACCCAAAAACACCAAAAATGACCCCAAAAACACCAAAAACCACCAAAAAAACACAAAAAATGACCCAAAAACCACCAAAAATCACCCAAAAAAACCCAAATAACAAAAAAAAAACCAAAAAAATCCCAAATAACCCCAAAAAAACCCCAAATATTCCCAATCCCCGAATGTTTTGTTCTTTTCTCTCCTTTTTCTCCTTTTCCTCTTATTTTTATTTTTTTTCCCTTTTTTTTTTCTCTCCTCTCTCCTCCAGCGGCCAAATGACCCCAAAGTCACCCCAAAAACACCAAAAACACCAAAACCGCCCCAAAAACACAAAAAAAATCCTCAAAACACAAAAAAAACAAAAAAAACCCCCAAAAATATCCCCAAAACCACAAAAAAATCCCCTAAAACACCAAAAATATCCAAAAAACACCAAAAACAGCCCAAAAACACCAAAAAAATTCCCCAAAATACCAAAAAAATCCCAAAAACACCAAAACCAACCTAAAGGACACAAAACCAACCCAAAAAACACCAAAAACGCCCCAAAAAATCCCCAAAAAATCCCCAAAAACCAAACCAAGGAAACCCCAAAAACACCAAACCCAACCCAAAAAAACCAAATAAAAAAACTCAAATTACAAACACCAAAACCACCCCAAAAAAACAAAAAAAAACCAAAAAACTCGAAAATCAACCCAAAACCAGCCCAAAAACCACCAAAACCACCTCAAAAATCTCCAAAAATAACCCAAAGAACCTCAAAAAATCCCAAAAAACGCCAAAACCAACCCAAAAAAACAAAAGATAAAACGCAAATAACCCAAAACCAACCCAAAAAACCCAAAAACACCAAAATCAACCCAAAACCAACCCAAAAATCACCAAAAACAAATAAAAAAAAAAACAAAAACCCCCAAATAACGGCAAAACCACCCCAAAAAACAAAGAAAATCCCAAATAACGCAAAAACCAACCCAAAAATCACCAAAATCGCCCCCAAAAACCCCAAAATCAACAAAAAAAAAACAAAAAAAATCAAATAACAGCAGAACCACCCCAAAAAACGAAACAAAAAGAACAAAAATCACCAAAACTGCCCCCGAAATAAAACAAAAAATGATTAAAAACCCCAAAATAAAACGGCAAAAATCAAATAAAAATTAATAACGGACGGATAAAAAAATCCCGGTAATCCCCGCGAAATAAACCCGGACAAAATAACCAAAATTACAGAGAAATATCGCAAAAAAACCGCAAAAAAATTAAATTAAAAATAATTTTTAATAGCCCGAACAGCCCCGAGGAAAAGCTCAAAAAATCCCCAATAAACCCCGAAAAAAACCGAAAATCCGGGAAAAAAAACTTTAATAAACCGGAATAATTATGATAATAATTATAATTATTAGAAAAATTTCTCTCATCCAGGGGAACCAAAAAAAGCCCAAAAATCCCCAAAAAATCCAGAAAATCCCCAAGAAACCCCGAAAATAATAGCGATAAATTAATAATAATAATAATAATAATAATTTTAATTATTCTCTCACCTTGCGCTCTCATCCACGGGAACATCGTGACCCAAAAACCGCCCAAAATACCCCGAAAAAAACAAAATAAAAACAAAAAAATCAGATAAAAAAACAAAAAAACCCCCCAGAAATAAAATGGAAATAAAGCCCGGAAAGCGCCAATAATAATAATAATAAATTTAAATATATTTATTGTAATAATTTAAAATTTCCTCTCACCGTGCGGTCTCGTCCAGGGGAATATCAGAAATAAAATAGCGCTAAAAATACCCGGAAAAAACAAAAAATAAACTAAAAAAAAAAACCTAAAACCCCCCAAAATTCCCCCAAAAATCCAGGAAAACAAACGCAAGAACAAACCTAAAGAATTATAAAAAAAAAAAATTTAAGAATCCTCAAAAAAAAGGGCAGAAAAAGCCTAAAAAAGTCCGGAAAAAAATCCCCCCCAAAATCCAGGAAAACAAACGCGGAAAAAAAAAAAATTAAAATAATAAAAATAAAACAACAAAAAAAAAAAAAATTCGGAATAAACCCAAGAGAAGGCCGGAAATGACAACAATAAATTAAAATAATGATGATAATAAAAATAATTGCAATAATTCTCTCCCCGCGCGCTCTCATCGGGGGCTCCGCTCATGGGGCCAAGAAAAAAAAAACAAAAAAACCAAAAAATCTCGGAAAAGCCAAAAAATTCCCCAAAAAATCCAGGAAAACAAACACTAAAAAAAAAAAAGTAAAAGAATAATTAAAAAGGGACAAAAATAACAAAAATAACCCAAAAAAGCCTCAAAAATTCCCGAAAAAATCCCGAAAAATAAACACAAGAAAAACCAAAAAAAATCCAAATAAAACCGAAAAAAAAAAAAACACAGAAAAATGGAAATAAACCCCGGAAAACGCCAATAATAATAATAACAATAAATTAATATATTTATATAAAATAATAATTTATAATTTCTCTCACCGTGCGGTCTCATCCAGGGGAACGTCAGAACCAAAATTGCACAAAAAAAACCCAAAACACCCCAAAAAAAACCCAAAAAAACCACGGAGAAGTTCTATAAACCCAGGAAAAGAATAATAAATTAAAATTTATTTATTAAAATCATTTAAAATGGAACACGAGGTGCCCATCGGACCCTCCGGGACGAGAAAAAAAATAAAAAAAAAACCAAAAGAACCAAAAAAAACCAAAAAAAACCCCAAAAACCGCCCAAAACGCCCTCAAAAATTCCCCGAGAAATCCAGCCAAACAAACACGAGAACAAACCTAAAAAAATCCAAATAAAAACCCCCCAAAAAAACCCCAAAAAACTTAAGAGACCCCAAAAAAAAAACCCCCAAAATTGGGAATAAACGGCGGAAAACGCCAATAATAACGGCAATAAATTAAAATCATGACAATAAAAATAATTTCAAGATGAATTCTTTCCCCGTGCGGTCTCATCCAGGGGAACATCACAACAAAATGTACCCAAAAAATCCAAAAATAACCCCAAAAAATCCAAAAATAACCACAAAAATCCAAAAATAACCCAAAAAATCCAAAAATAACCCCCCAAAAAATAAAAATAACCCCCAAAAAATAAAAATAACCCCCAAAATCCCCGAGAAAATGGGAAATAAAGCCCAGAAAACGCCAATAACCGTAACAATAAATTAAGATAGCGCTAATAAAAATAATTTAAAGATGAATTCTCTCCCCGTGCGGTCCCATCCAGGGGAACACGAGGCTCTGCCCCTCGGACCGAGAAAAAAAAACCAAAAAACCAAAAAAACCCCCAAAAAATCGGGAATAAACCCCGGGAAACGCCAATAACCGTGACAATAAATTAAATTAAAATAAAATCTCGCTCTCCCCGTGCGGTCACATCCAGGAGAGCACCGGGCTCTGCCTCTCGGACCGAGAAAAAAACCCCAAAAAAACCCAAAAAAACCCCAAAAAATCGGAAATAAACGTCAATAACAATAAATTAAAAGAACGCTATTAATGATAATTTAATATTAATTCTCTCCCCGTGCGGTCTCATCCAGGGGAACACGCGGCTCTGCCCGAGGTGCCCTTGGCCAACATCGGGCCAAGAAAAAACCCCAAAAAAAAAACCCCAAAACGCCAAAAAAAACCCAAAAAATCGGGAATAAACACCGGGAAACGCCAATAACCGTGACAATAAAATAAAAATAAATTAAATTAAAATCTCGCTCTCACCGTGCGGTCTCATCCAGGGGAGCACCGGGCTCTGCCCGCGGTGCCTCTCGGCCGCTCCGGGACGAGAAAAAACCCCCAAAAAAATCCCAAAAAAACCCCCAAAAATGGGAAATAAACGCCAATACCAATAAATGAAGATAACGCTAATAATGATAATTTAAATATTAATTCTCTCACCGTGCGGTCTCATCCAGGGGAACACGAGACTCTGCCCGCGGTGCCCATCGGGCCGAGAAAAAACCCCCAAAAAACCCTCAAAAAACCCCAAAAAACCCCCAAAAATGGGAAATAAACTCCAATAACAATAAATTAAGATAACGCTATTAATGATAATTTAAATATTAATTCTCTCACCGTGCGGTCTCATCCAGGGGAACACGAGGCTCTGCCCGCGGTGCCCATCGGGCCGAGAAAAAAACCCCAAAAACCCCCAAAAAACCCCCCAAAACCCCCCCAAAAAACCCCCAAAAAATGGGAAATAAACGCCACCACCAATCAATTAAA